ATGTTTGCTGAATTTTTACAGCATGCAGTGCATTAATATTTTAGGGATGACTTCACAATCAATATTGTAATCCTCCCAAAGGACCAATTTCCTCCATAGTATCTACCACTAACTCCCGCCCAAAATAAAAACCCTAAAAGGACAGCCTTGGATATTATTTTGGCAAGTAATACGTAGAGCTAAGATTAAGTTTAAAAAATAAAAGTATATAATATAAACGCCTGTTTTGACAGAATGTATCTAATTAATAACCTTTATAATTTTTCCCAAGATCGAATAAATTAGAGGAAAGATTAGCACTTCTCCTATAGCTAAGATGCAAAAGCATAAACTGAAAATGATTTTTTTCCCTTAAAATTAACTATCTAATTCATTTTAATTCAAAAATCATTGGAATTTGGTTTGTTTTGTCCTCTTTTGGTGTGGGAACGGGCATTAAAAATCAGATATTTCTTTGTTTTTCTTTCAAAATGAATCCTCATTTAAACGTCAGAATGTACAGACAATCCAATCTGTATATGTTTTGTTTCTATGTAAAAAAAGAAAAAAAAATTGTTTCCATAGTAACCCTGAATATGACTAAACTATGTCACTTCCTAATACCTCCATATGAGGAAGAACGGATGACAAAGGAAAGGCAAAGCTGGAAGTAGAAGTGGCTGAGAATAGCCAGCCTTCGCCACGCCACGTTTCCCATCAGCACACACTCTCAAGTGCACCGAGCTTCTTATCCTCTTTCCAGCAACCCAGCCCCAACTTGCTTTCCCAGGCTGCTGGGTTAAAAAAGATTCTAATACAGGATTATCCTGGACATAAAGTTTTAAGAAGGGTGTGGTCATATTTATGTAAGATTCACATTCAGATAGGGAGTTCTCCACTACTTTCTTCTACAATAGCTAACCTCATTCATTGTACGCTTACAACTCATTTCCCTGTGTATTCACTAACCATAAGAATTTCTAAAACTTTTTGAAATGTGCACTTATTTTTAAGATTGGAGAAAGGAAAGACGCTATCTATAATCTGCATTTACTAAAAACTTTTGCCCTCTGTTTCTCACTACTGACTTTTCAGGAGAAAATCTTTCTCCGTGGTATCTGTCATCTTCAGTTACTTTCTCTCTTAATTACTTTGCTATGCTTAAGTGCAGCAAAGGTACCAAGTACAGATAGCTACGCATTATGTGTGCTACTCTGCTTAAGATAAACATAAAAATATACAATATTTTAAAAGGATTGGACAAGCAGTTTTCTGGCAGCAGGCATGACGGTCATACGATTAATTATGTATTTACTTAGACAGACAGACAGACAGACAGACAGACACACACACAATGTGCCAGCATAAATTTGTTACATGGGTATTTCAGATAGCCCTAAGATGTAAACACTAGTATTTTTATTCTATTTATCAAATGAAAAAGCTAATAATTTAGAAACTTGGATTTGGTCACATAGCCAGAGAATGGCTGAACTTACGTCTACCTTATTTGGAAACTCAAACCCTTTACCTCTACACCATTCTCTTCTACAAAATCATTCAGAGCTTTTCTGTAGGAAAAGGAGGTTAAAATTCTCATTCTAATTCATTCTAGTAAATACCAATTAACTACCAGTTGACTGCTTAATACTACTAATAAATGGTAATTAACTCTCAGCTCACCCTCCCTCCCTAAGCATGAGATGAACGCTGCAGCCTGGCTGTGTATGAATGTATGTGGGGTCATCTTCAGCACACACACCAACTGCTTTTTAATGACAACACAACAATCAGTGCAAAGGGAATCCTGCACCAACATCCCTCTCCCCATCCTGCCGCACCTCCTCCCACTGCATTTTCTTCTACTGAGAGGTCTGCTGTTTGCATGCGTTTTTAGTGTGGATAGTCAGAGTGACAGCGTCATTGTAGATACTATCCTATTATACCATGGAGGTGACATATACGCTTGCCTGCAACAGGAAGCATACAAGCCAAGCTCACATTTGACATTTACAGTCACCAGCAACTAGCTAGATATCAACATTTTCCATAACTTCTACATGTATTCTCTCTGCTGTCTCTCTGGGAACAGATGCTCTTTGAAGTCAAGAAACATATTTTTTGTCAAAGTTTTAAAGGTGTTAATATAAAGCATCTACTTAGTGCTATGGTTTCTGAGTGAAGTTACAATCTACTCAGAAATTCAAAGTAATAAGTTAGAAGCCATTTCCACATGCTTTATATACAATTTATAAGTAATCTTGTCAGTTAATCTCCAAACACATCTTCCACTTCTCTCTATTTTGACCCTCAACTCTTGCCTAGAAAATACCACCAGAGCCTCTTGTCAGTCAGGCCTCACAGCTTCTACCCTTCCCTGCAGAAGCTTTCTAGAAGCAAATGCCTTTAATGGCTTGTCATTATACTAACAAAAAAACCCGAGACTCTTCACCAAGTTCTATAACATAAGATCCCTGCTTTCTCTGACTTCACCTGTTCTCACTCTCCACCGTTCTAGTCTTAACACTATCTTCTCCTGTTGCCTAGAAAGCTCCTCCCACCAGATCTTCAAATGATCAGACTATTTCTTTCTTTCATTTAAATTTTGGGGTAAATTGTCTCCTCCTCAGGAAGAGTTAGTCTTCCTCCATCATTCTCTCTCATATCACCCTATATTGGAGCACCATGATTAATCAATTTTTTCTTTCTTATCTGCACAGAGAAGAAATGTTAAGTACTACCAGGACAGGGGAAATTGGACTTATTCTTTGCTGTATCCCAGCATACACACAGAACTGACATAAGAATGCATAAGAGGGTCTCCCCCGGTTGACGCAGCAGTTGAGCACTGGGTTGCGAAGCTGCCTGCAGCCTCTGCAGCACTGGTTTGATCCCCGGCCACCAGCAAGGGTCCCACATGGCGTGCAGAACTCTCCTGCCAAGCCCGCTGCTCCCCTCAGCAGTGTATTTCATCAGTCTGCCTGTTCTGTTCCCTGCTCTGGCTCTGGTGAATTCTCTCACCCTCCCACGCTTCTGACTGTACCCAGTGCTTGTATAAATAAATAAATAAATCTTAAAACAAATGCTTAACAATGCTTGCTAGCTTTAAAACAGAGACTTAAATTGTGTGAACATTTAATACACAGGATTATTAAAATCAATGCCATCAGTCTTTTCATAATTATTGTTTCAATCAAAACATTCAGTCATTGGTAAGCTTAATAATTTACATATACTTTTATTTACACCCCTATCGGTGTTAAAGAATCTGCACCTATGATTTGTTCCAAAAGGAATGAAAAGTGGCCTATTACACTGTGTTTGGTCTAAAAGATCAAAACATCTCCATATAGGACATTATATAAAATACCTGACAAGTACGTCTGAAAACTGTTAGGGTCATAGAAAACACAAGAAGACTGGAAAACTGTCACAGACCAAAGAAGACATGACAACCAAATGCAATGTGATAACCTAGACTGATTCTGAAACAGAAAGAAGATATTAGTAGCAAATTCAAATGAAATCTGGATTTTAGTTCAGAGTAATGTATTTGATACTGGCTTCTCAGTTTTGAAAATGCGTCATGGTGATATGAGATGTTTGGGAAGCCAGGTGAGGATTACATAGAAACTCTCTAAACTATCTTAGCAACTTTTCTGTAAATAGATTCTAAAATAAAGTTTATTTTTTAAAAATCAGCATTTCCACAGAGAAAGAAATGTGCTGCCCTCTAACCACACATAGTTAGGCCTTTTACTCTGAATAAAACAGTGTGGGCTGTTGGCGTTATGACTTGAACCCAAGCTACCATTCAAATATAAAAATACAATAGTATATTTAATATTTAATCTCCTCAGGTTTGCAACCTCAACAGTCATTTTAAAACAACCAGACACATGTATTTGTTACCTTTAACAGCACATTAATTCTACATGTAAGACTTAGAAGTGTTACCTCTCCCCTTTTCTCTGCTGGATTGATGCCCTACACATTTAAAGCCTCCATTTGCCTACTGGGTTGGGAGAATTTTTTAACTTCTATGAACTTAAACTCTGCCCATTGCTTCTTTTCTAAAAGAAGGAGAAACTAATATTCCTAACCCTCAGATCATCAGAGAACACTGATAATTCAAACATGGCCAATATTTCAAAACATCTTTCTAGACATTATTCTCTAATTTTCTCTTAGCTGTTCTACAAAATTATTCCCTACTCATTTACTTGACAATTATGTCATAGAGCAGCCTGAATCATACTGAACAAGGAAAAGAAATTGGATTAAAAATTCAAAAACATGAAAGCAAATTCCATTGTGATACTTCTGTGCCCCAGAGAGGTTTCATCATTTCATAAATACACCCAAAACCAAAGGACTAAGCACTGCAACCCACCCATCATTTTACACATAATTACATAAACAAGACATAAAAACATCTTCACACACAGTTCCTGAAATAATAGCATTTATTTATCTTATTTATCCTATTATTCTGGTTTCAATACACACCCAGGCACACAAACACATACATTGTTTTCAGGGGTCATGGTGATCTTAGTTAATTAGAACACTACAAAATGCTCAAAATAATACAGAGGAAACAAATTAAACCACTCAAAAAGGCAGAAGTCAAAAAAGGTGAAAGGGAGTGTAAAATTAGACCATTTGTAAGGAAAAACACCCAGAGGAAAAGGAGAAATTTGTAACAATCCCCTGGGTATTTTGTAGTACTAACCTGGGCCAGCCCCTCAAATAGTCTCAATCTTATGTTCCTTATATACAACATTAAAATAACTCCTGAAATCTCTGTTTTTTTAGTACAACAAAATCTAGCAAATAAGTCACAATTTTTAGAAAGTTACTTTTCATACACAATTCACTTTTACAAAATTAGCTTTTAAAAATTGCTGGTAGTATCTGAAAAAAAATTGAGTGTATATCTATTTTTCTGAAACAGGGTAAAGAAGAAAGCAACACTTTGCCCACCACAAGCTGAACAGAATTCTTATACAAGTGCTTACCTTGGACACTTGTCGAAGCCACCTTAAATACTCTGTGAATGTGTCAAAACAAATGTAGTAAGTCTGGCTTTGGGGTCCAGAAGAGCTAAATGCTAAACAGTGCTGATGCTTTTTCACTTCTTCCACCTATAAAAACAAAAGAAGCAAGACAAAAACAAGTAAGAAAACAAGTGCCATTTACATAGTACATGAACTATACCTTAAGGGTCAGTGAAGTTGCATGGATTTGCATCTTTCACTATTTATAGTTCTCTTGTTACTTAAAACATGTAAGTTCCTCAGTTTGCCTAACCAATCTGAATTACAAGAAAACAAAAATGGGGAGTTGTTATTTTTTTTTAACAGATTTATTAAGTAAATATCTCCTGTAACCCACATAAAAACAAACCACTTTGATGTCCTTTTTCTTTAAACACTGGTTAATCCCTGACCATGATTAGTCTATTTCTTCCTCTCACCTTACAAGGAGATTGAGAAAGAATTACAGAAGGATCCAGATAGTCCCTGGCAAGCCCAGGTTTGCTGTCCTGCATGCTGCATGTGGGTACCTGATGGGACTAGGACCCAGTTTAGCTTATGTCCTCCTTTGCACCCTCATTTTGTTTTCTTTTTTCTTTTTTTTTTAATGTTTTTTTTTTTTTAATAGAGGCATGTTTTATTTATTTATTTGTTTGTTTGTTTTGTTTATACATGCACTGGGTACAGTCAGAAGCGCGGGAGGGTGAGAGAATTCACCAGAGCCAGAGCGGGGAGCAGAGCAGGCAGAAGGACCGAAGTACACTGCTGAGGGGAGCAGCAGGCGGCAGGAGAGGTCTGCGCGCCATGTGGGACCCTCCTCCGGTGGCCGGGGAGCAGCCGGGGATCGAACCGGCGCCGCAGAGGCCGCGGGCAGCTTCGCAACCCAGCGCTCAACCGCTGCGCCACCGGGGAGGCCCTGTTTTATTTTTTCTTATCAAAACTGAAAACAGAATAAACTCAAAGTAGAATGAAGGTGATAATAAAAAGCAGAAATTAATGAAACAAAAACCAATTGCACAACACAGAACATTAACAAAGAAAAACTGGTTCTTTAGAAAGGCTAACAAAATTGATAAATCCACTAGTAAGTTCTATCAAGAAATAAAGAGAAAAGACATAATATTAACAGTAAAAGGAGAAATCATTACAACTAAAGCAGAAATTTAAAAGAATATTATAAATAATTTTGTGGCAAATTTTTAGAAATATATATTTTACCAACACTTAATCAAGGGAAAAACCAGAATGCCTCAACAGTCCTATAATCATTCAAAAAACTGAATGAATTTTTTTAATTCTCAAATAAACAAATCAGACTCAAATGATTTTATGGATGAGCTTTACCAAACTTCCAAGAAACACATCACTTGAAACTGCAAACTTAACTTTTCACTAAATGAAAAATGAAAAATCTACCCCAACCTTTTCTATAAGGCATAATCAAGAGGTATCAGAGAATAAGAGAAATGAAATTTCACAAGCCTCCTTCAATCCTGAACATTCATCTTGAACAAAATTTGTGTCAGAATTCAGTAACAAAGAAATAGTATATAAAGAACAAGCTGGATTTATCTCAGGAAAGAAAAGATGGCTTAACACTATCAAACTACAAAATTATTAAATTACATCAACAAAATAAAAAAACTCATTTGATCATTTCTATAGTGGGAGAGAAAGAGCTTGATCTCATTCACCATACATTCATGATTAAAAATTCATGGCAAACTAAGAGTGCAAATAACTCAAGCTGATACTATTTATCAAACATTTAACTTCAATGTCAATGAGATATCACTCTCTTTAAGATCATCCATAGGACAAGTATCTTCTGCTTTTATGCAATACTATACTAGAGTCCTGAGCATTATAACAAGACAAGAAATATGTAAGAAAGAAAATTGTAATTACTTCAATGACATGATTTGCAACGTACTTAAAGCCAAAGAATCCACAGACGTTGCATTAGAACAAGTAAGAAAATTGGGCAAAGTGGCAGGACATCACATCAATACTCAAAACTCAACCTCATTTCTATACATCAAACAGATAATATAATTTTTAAAATAATGTTATGTAAACTAATTTACATTGACAGAAACCAGTGGTTTCTTGTAGACTGGGAGAAGTGAGTACAAATGGGTGAGAGGGAAGAGGTAAAGTAGGAACACAAGGAAACTTTATGGGGTGATATGATCACTGTCTTTATTGTGGTGATGGTTTAATGGATGTAGCTATCAAATAGTACGCATGGGAATATACAGCCATCCAATGTGCAGTGTATTGTATGTGAATTGTACCTCAATAAAATTTGAAGATGTAGAAAAACAGCTTCCCTAAAGTCACAGTAACAAGAACAGAAACGAGTATATTGATGAGTGCAAAATGGTACAACAGCCTTGGAAAACAACTTGGTATCACCTTGTGTAAGTAAATATGCATGTGTCCTATAGTCCAGTAACTGCACACTTAGGAATGTATCCAAGTAGTATTTCTCAAGGAGATTATTATAGGAATTTTGGATTGAACTGTTCTTCATTATACATTGCACAGCACTGTAATACTTTGCATGACATATTACTCCTTAAGCTCTGGCCCTATATATGCCTGTAGGGTACCCCTGTAGGATTCTGACCCTGCTCACTCTATCTACTTCTCTAGAGTCATGCAGGAGTCGAATGATTACTTCTGGCAAATGAGCTGTGGGCAGAAGTGGCATGTGTCATGCAAATATACAAGAGCCAATGGCTGCTTAAGCAACAAAGGAAGACCTCATATACCAGGTACTATAATTAAAAGTGAACTACACCTCATAAGGTTAGCTCCTTGTATGATTAAGTGGAAAAAGAACTCTCCACGGACCCAAGGTGGACACACAGTGCAAGTGAGAAGCGACTTAAAATGCTCTCCCACTGAGAGCTGGGGGCTTGTTGCCACAGCACAGCTTAGCTCACATCGACTGATACGTTGACTATTCAGTCCTATGACAATCAAAACACTAGCACATTGCACCAGATTGCCTTTGGTCACAGTAACTGGTTGAGAATTACAGCCCGAGATAAACTTCTGCACCCCAGGAGGCATGGCAGTATAAGGCTATGTGAGCAGCATTATTTATAACAAAAAACAAAAACCAAAACCTAGAAGCAACCCCAATGTACATCAACTGGTAAAAAAACTGAAGAAATTATGGAAATTGAAATAGTTACTGAATGGGGCATTATACAGAACAAAACTTATAGCAAGCAACATGGAATCTTATTATGCAATGTAATATTGAGAGAAAAAATTGAATCACGGAAGATCCAGATGGCACAAGGCCATTTTCATTCAGATCAAAAACATGTAAAACATAGTTGCATGATAAAACATTGCAAAAGAGTATGGAAATGCTGAATACATATTCTATCACACTGTATCCCTCTGGGGTTGAGGGTGACAATGGGACAGATGGAAAGAGAACATAAGTAGAAACACTAGTATTGATACTGCTAGAGTAGATTGTTATACAATTTATTATGCACTACAATTTAACAAATATCAAATAAAGTATTAATTAAAATAAGTTATCGCGAAATCTGTCAAATTCTAAGGGCTAAACATAGTAACTGCACATTGAATAAAAATTGATTTTAAGAGCTTTATTTAACTTATTTGGAATTCTGCATTTGAAAACATGAATGCTCAAGTGTGTCAAATTTGATTATCACAGTAATCATGGGTATGTTATGACTGATCCATTGCATAACTCATTTCTAGTTATTTTTCTCTAAACTAACATAAATTCCATTAAATCTCAGTTTTCCTTTTAACAACAGAATAAGATGGAAAAAGGGAACAAACATTAATGAAAACTCAGATTGCAAAGTGTCATTATTTTTCCTGGCTCAGACAACAGGTTTTGAAAGATTAAATTTTTCAATATACTCAATTATTTTTGAAGGAGTAGCACAAAACAGGTTTTACCAGGTTTGTCTGTGAGAAAAGGAAGTATTTAACTATCAATTCACTCAATGGTAGAAGTCCATCCAATCATAGGCCTGGGAAACAGCACAAGTCTCCAGCTCTGAATGAAAATGCTAATTATAACTGCTTCTTCTGACCTCCTCTGAGCACTTGCTGCTTCTGCGTCTCTGAACATGGTAATATTCTGACCAACTCGTTATGTCAAGAGATTTTTCACCCTTCAAATTGCTAATTCCTTCATCAGAAAATTTCCTATTGCCCCAATCTTGATTTCTACTAATCCCCCACACTGCTTTCTATCCCTGTCTTAGAGCACATGTGTCCGTCCCTTATCTCCTGATAGTAAATTAGAAGCTATTCAAAGGCTGTGATGGTGACGGACCCATCTTGGTATTTCTGGGATGCCAAGCAAAGGGGCCTCTCCACAGAGGATCTTTAATAAATAGTTATTTAAAACTGCCCATGCAAATGCCTACCATCATAGAGAAGAAAGATTGTTGACCTAACAGGGCACCAAACATTAAATAAGCATTTTTAATGATGACCTATATAGGAATAATAACAGTGACTAATTTCCCAGTAATCCAGTCAAAGGACAAAATCTTCAGTAATAAGACATCACTAATTCTTCAATGCTCAGATAAAAGTTAAACCATGGTTTTAAAATCGATGACTAAACTAGATCTAAATATACTTTGTAGCCTGGCCAAATCTATTTTTAAAAATGATCAAGTATTAGTTTTCTTAGGACTAGAATGTAAAACAGTAGAGAGGGGGAAGAAACCTGACAGGAGCTGCGTCTCATCACACTAGTTTAAACTTACAAACTCGCTCATTAGAGATAACAAGAAAACCACACATTACTACATGCATCCAATCTGCCACCTTCATTTCTATTCCCTGGAACCAGAAGATCAAAACATTTGCCAATTTAAAAAATTCGCTTTAACAAAAGTTGGCTTATTATTTTTCTTCTCTTTATATTCTCCACATCCGGCTTCCTTTCCCATACCCATTCAAAGGGAAAAATTGTAAAGACAATGTTTGTTTAATATGAGCCTGATTTCTAAAAACCCATTTTTTATCCAAATTTGCCTTCCCATTTATTAGAAGATTATCATAGCATTTAAAAATCAGGAAATACTGACATATAATTATGATAATGATAATGATACCCCAACCAATGCTTGGAGTTTATAAATAAGTCTGGCAAAGAAAAAAATGTAACATTTTCCCAAGCAATTTGTTTCTATTTGTAAATGATAGGAAAACAGTTAACATGCCCAAAGAAAAGCAGCTAGTAGTGTCAGAAATATCTTTCAGCTGAACCTCAGGTTTTCTCTGAAATGAATCAAACTAATGACTAGCCATAGTGACAAATTAAAAAGGCTAATATCATTGGTCACTAAGCACAAATACACAGTTAAGTGGGATCAGAGATTCACGTTAGAGTGTAACTTTTATTAAGTACAACTGAATGGTTCTGAGGTCACTGATATAAGGACCATTACACTATAGCACAAAATACGTGCTTAAGATATCAAAACTTGGCCCTCCCCTGGTGGTGCAGCGGTTAAGCGCTGGGCTGCGCCGGTTTGATCCCCGGCCACCGGTGAGGGTCCCACATGCCGCTGTTCCCCTCAGCAGTGTACTTCGTAGGTCTGCCTGTTCTGTTCCCCGCTCTGGCTCTGGTGAATTCTCTCACCCTCCCGCACTTCTGACTGTACCCAGTGTTTGTATAAATAAATAAATCTTAAAAAAAAAAAAAAAAAAAAGAAATGAAAACTTGTTTACTCATAAATAACTCTTCATATACAGCCTAAAATGTAATGGTGAAATTCTAGCTGTTCTATTTTCAGTCCAGTGGATAAAATTCACGCACTGATTGGGCCTCCCTGGTAGCGCAAGGGGTTAAGCACTGTACTATGAAGCAATTCTCACAGCCTCTGCAGCATGAGTTTGATCCCGGGCCAGCCAGGGAGCATCTGGGGATGGCGCAGCAAATCTCTCCTGTCTTGCCCACTGCTCCCCTCAGCGGTGCGTTTCGGACAGTCTGCCTGTTCAGTTCCCCACTCTGTCTCTGGTGAATCCTCTCACCCCTCACCCCATAACCCCCTGGCCTGTACCCCAACTCTTATATGCATAAATAAATAAATCTTTTAAAAAAAAAAAAAATCATGCACTGATGAAGCAAAGGTCCCGGGGCCACCAATGAATGGAATTATTTCCCACAACCTCCCCAAACAAGAATGCCCACTGGTGGGGACAACAGGAACCGGGGAAGACCACAGATGAGTGGAAAACCATCTACCCCTTAGTAAAGAAATGGCTCAAAGTAAGCTCCTTAATGATGCTGAGAAATCTGTTAGTATTGTGTTTGTTTTTTATACTTACTTTCCCACCAATTAGTGGCAGAACATGCATCTTCCCGGTCAAGCTATCTTTCACAGAGGACACTATCAGGCAGGTCCCACACAGGATGACTTGACGTCTGGTCCATCGGTTCACTGGCAACTGCATTTTGCCTTTACGGACATTATACATTCCTGAGAGCTGAATCCGTTCAGAACTATTGGTGCTGTGAGGTTTTCCTAAAACAAACATAAGCAAATGTTTTAGCCTTAAAGAAACGAGCTTTTTTTCCCTACTTTTTGACATACCAGATAAATTACTTGGACAACAGAGATTATAAGGATTATAAATAAGATTGCTTATTGAGAGAATGTGAAGCCTGCAATAATACAACTATGGTATGAACTATCACATCTCCACATGTACATTTTAATATTAGGCAAAGAACCTTTTCCTTTAAACCCTAGGAAAAGACCATTTTAACTCCTCGATTACAACCCAGTTTAATTCCCATTATATCCTTTATAAATTTTACATTTTTTTAAAAAAAGATTTAATTATTTATTTATTTATACAAGCACTGGGTACAGTCAGAAGCGCTGGAGGGTGAGAGAATTCACCAGAGCCAGAGTGGGAAACAGAATAGGCAGACTGACAATACACTGCTGAGGGGAGCAGCGGGCTTGGCAGGAGAGGTCTGCGCACCATGTGGGACCCTCACCAGGTGGCCGGGGATCGAACCGGTGCTGCAGAGGCTGCAGGCAGCTTCGCAACCCAGTGCTCAACCGCTGTGCCACCAGGGAGGCCCTATACATTTTACATTTAAAAAACAAATGACTTCAAGATTTTAATGAATGACTAGAGTTAATTTAATTACACTAAGAAAATAATACAGATTGAGATATGAAAATAATATTCACGATCTAGCATTTAATAAAACTAATCAGTTTTAATGGAGTTCACTGCTGGTATTCTTCCTTCTATAATACTCACTGTATATTCATTATTAAGACAACATTAGGGCCTCCTTGGTGGCGCAAGGAGTTAAGCACAGCACTATGAAGCCATCTGCAGTCTCTGCAGCACAAGTTCGATCCCCGGCCACCAAGAAGCTACCCACATGGCGCAGCAGACCGCTCCTGTCTCGCCTGCTTCCCCCCTCAGCAGTGTATTTCTGTATATCTGCCTGTTCTGCTCCCCACTCTGTCTCTGTACCCCCTGCACCTCTGGCTTGTACCCCAGTTCTTTGTGAATAAATAAATCTTTTTTAAAAAAGACAACATCAAAAAAAGGAATGACTTTTCTAGTAAGAAAACACTACTCCATAACCATAGCAGAAGCCCTCAAAGATAAACTTAACACCAGTCTATGAAGGATGCTGTGGTGCTTGGGGCTCATGCAGGGTAACGCAGTCAGAGAGACACGGAGATGATGAGAAAAAGTCTTCATTTCCCAAATGGAAATGAATTTACTAGAAATACATTCAGGCAAGGCCTAACAACTCAATAGGAGAATTACTCTGATCAGCATGTGATGGATTTGTATAAACAAGGAGAAAAATATTTCCCATCTCTAAATATTAAATACATAATATCAAAAAGTACTGAAGTCCATGCTCAGAAATAAATTATGAGGGCCTCCCTGGTGGCACAGGGGTTAAGGACAGTGCTATAAAGCTACTGCCAGCCACTACAGACAAGTTCGATCCACGTGGGCCAGGGAGCAAACCACATGGCATAGCAGACCTCTCCTGTCTCACCCGCTGCGCCCCTCAGCAGTGAATTTCAGTACATCTGCCTGTTCTGCTCCCCACTCTCTCTGGTGAATCCTCTCACCACCACCCCACACCTTTGGCTTTCACCCCAGCACTTGTATGCATAAATAAATAAATATTTAAAAAAAAAAAGAAATTATGAGAGATATTTGTCCTTGAATAGGACCAAAGCCAGAGTGTTATCTCATTTATCTGGAAGTTTGCCTAGTTGCCAAGAGCTAGCAGAAAAAACAGATTTGAGAGAAGTTCCATTATTATGAGGATTTAGAACTAACAAACACCAAGCTGCTTTGGTAGGTACTAGTACCTGCTGGAGAGAGAAACAGGAAGAACAGCAGCACCAAACATGGGTATCGAGACAATCTGCAACGTCTGAAACCTCCCAATAATACACCTCTGGGCAGAACTGCTAGCAAATAACACAACTGGCAGGTTGGAAGTTCACTTCTTTTTTTCTCTCATTATATCAAAATCTTTTATAAAATACCGCACACATACAATTTTGCTGGGACTGGCCTAGAGTGAAGTCTGACAATGGTTCAGCTATTTAAGCCTGGTGTTCAAAACATTACACGCAAGGGCTGTCAGGGGTGAGCCATGGAGTTTTCTCTCCACCAAATGCTAATGCTCCCACAACTAGGTAGGAAGCCCAGGAGACGATTCAAAATATACTTGCTAAAGGCTGCCAATGACAGCTCTGACCCCAGTCACTTATTTGTCCCATTCTTTACAAGTTCATTTACTTCCAGAAAGACGCACAATCTCAGAGTTCCTTTGCACATGACAGACTCCTGTAGGGAGGGAGTGAGAAGAAAAGACTTAGAAGAAAAAGGAAAGGTAAATACAAGATGAGAACAGGCTGCTGGATTTCCAAAATCCAATTTCTATGACTGTAATATCATTAATAGGGAATCTGATCTAAATACATGGGCACACATATACACGCTTAGACAAAGACTAGTGAATGCCAAGAGACAGGCATTTTGTTCAGGTACATGGGAGAGAGGCTTCAGGGTCATGTGTTAATGTCACATTTAGGTAGAGCTATGAATAGAGAGACTAAAGAGAAAGACAACAGGGGTATACAAGGATCAGCCCTTCAATGTGTCAAATCCATATACATCCCGGGAAAAAAGGACCAGAGCAAATTACCAGCTAGACCAGGAGATGTGTATGTACACACACACACACACACACACACACACACACACACACATCCCAGCCTTAGTTCATATATCTATATAAAGACATCATCTGAAATAAGAGGCTGGCCTCTTACTTCCTAATCAGAACATCACTCAAGAGTCTTGGAGCCAAATGGTAAGATCAATTTGTCCATGGAAAGTTCTGAACATCCCAGTCTGAATCAAATCCCTCTTGTATTGCTCCAAGTGAACTTTAATATCCTTGTCTGTTCCCTCCCAGGGTGTTTCAGATCAGACATACCTCAGAAGGCCTCAGACCTTGGCTGTGTGCCAACTGGGCTCTGGGGAAAAGGGAGAAGAGTGAGCAATACATACCTGGGCAGTTACCCAGGGGAACCCTCATTTGTGCAGACTTCCTACTTGATGATAGAAGGAATTATTTTAGCTCTCCCTAAAAATTTTCAAACGCCTTGATTTAAGAGAATTCCAATTGTTTTATGCTTTAAGAAATATTGACAACAATGAAGAAAATAATGCCTGCCAGCTTAAAGTTAGATGGGTTGTTGTAACTTTCTAGAAATGTTTCTCTAATTTCCTACAGGCTTAAGGCATTTCTCACAAGATCCATGACTAAAGGTAAACAAAAAAAGCAAGTATTGCAAGCTGCATTAGAGACCTGATTACAGCAGAGAGAGACAAAATATAATTCTTTCTCTCTCCCACTCACTTGACACATGGCAGACAAGGTGATCCATACAAGTTTATTTTATAAACAGACACTAGCTCAAAGGTGGTCATGGCCTGCTTGTAGAACATGATAGTGCTATGCTAAAGAAGCACACTAGCATCTCTGAGTCTTCGAACTCCTCTCCCACACAAAATTGACAACTCTTATTGACCTCAGGTAGTGCAACTGCTGTTTAAGGAAGGAATAAAAGAGTTTGAAATATCCACTATAAGCTAGGGTTATGCTAGAAGCTGGGGATATCAAGAAAATATTTTCTGCACCAACTTGCTTAAAGCTGGGTTTTTCAAAATGTGGTCCAAGGGCTAGGTTTCTACTATAACAGCATACAAATCTGTAACCTTAGTAACCAAAGCCTGAAATTGCATTTCAGCAACCACCAATCAAAGATCTGGGTGCTCTGTAGCCATAAGCTAAAACACTTAGGATAATTAAGTCAAAGTCAGCTTGTTTCCTAATATATGTATTTTTTATATTCATGAAATTAGATTTTCTAATGTTTTCTCCCTATGCTAATCACTTTCACATATTTTCACTGATTTGCTTTTTGTCACTTTACATACAGGTTATTGAGTGTGCCAAGAGTTCATTCCTTTATATCCCTGAGTAATATTCCATTGTTTAATGTATGTTTTTCTTTTAACCATTCATCGGCTAATAGACATTGAGTTGTTTCCGATTTTTTCCCCTATTTTGACAGAGAAAATTAGTGTGGAAGTTCTTGTGCATTTATTTCTTGGGTAAATACACAGGCCTGGAATGGGTTAAGTTGTACCATTCTATGGTACAGATATGCAGAAGTGGGCAAAGAGTTCCAGCAGCTCTGCCTCCAGGTGAACATGTTAGCCATTCTAGCACATATACAGTGGTGGTATTTCATTATATTTAATCTGCTTTCCTCTAGTGACTAGTAAAACTAATAGCCTATCAAGAATTTGTGATCCACACACCTTTGCTAAGGTGGCTAGTTAAAATCTTTTGTCCAAGTCTAGCTGGATTAAGTTTTCCATATATTCTAAATACTAGCCCATTGTCAGCTAAAGACCTGGAAATATTTTCTCCCAATCTAGCTTGTATATCTTTTTCTTTTTTCTTTTTTAAAGATTTATTTATTTATTTATACAAGCACTGGGTCAGAAGCGCAGGAGGGTGAGAGAATTCACCAGAGCCAGAGCAGGGAACAGAACAGGCAGACTGATGAAATACGTTGCTGAGGGGAGCAGCAGGCGCGACAGGAGAGGTCTGTGTGCCATGTGGGACCCTTGCAGGCAGCCAGGGATTGAACCGGTGCTGCAGAGGCTACGGGCAGCTTCGCAGCCCAGTGCTCAACCGCTGCGCCACCAGGGGAGGCCCTATATCTTTTTCTTGACAATACTTTGGGAAAGCAAGTTTCCAATTTAATGATGTCCAATTATTTGATTTAGTGTTTTTGGATTGTATTTAAGAACTAACACACTTAAGATGACTAAGATTTTCTTCCATGTTTTCTTTTAAATTTTATAGCTTTTATTCTTACATTTAAGTCTATGATCAATTTCAAATTAAATTTTATATATAGGAAGAAATAAGTAGAGG